TTTTTTTTTTACTTGACCACATGTAGCAGCTAAATGACAGACTTACAGTATTGTATGATACTTTCATTTGATATTTTTACAGTTAACTTGTCTCTATGTCTGCCTCGTGGTCAATAGTCAAAAGTATTAATGAGTGTTTTCACAATTTCAGAATCATGAGCATTTTAGGAATGGTACAAGTGAGTCGTCACTATTATGATCCTCGTCATCCTGCCATGGTACCACAACACAAGTAGGTTTCATTATTTTATATGTACTGCTGGATTTTAAGGAGGTTCTTTTTAAAATCAGGTGGTCATCTCAGAAAAACTTATACAAATACCTTGTATTTTTGTAGGTTATTTTCATTGGATTTTTACTTGGCAAACTTATAGGTCCATTCAAGTTTTTTATTGCCTTTTCTTTTAGACTCGAAGTTTGGCCAGGTTACATCACAGCAATACATGAGCGTGAAGGGGGGCTGCTGCTCCTAGCAGATGTTTCACACAGGGTACTAAGGACTGAAACAGTATTAGATGTTATGTAAGTTTTCATTTGATATACTGCATGTTCTCAGTCCATGTTATTGATAACTAAAACATTTTGATATATTGTAAAGATCTGTATTATTGTGTATGGTGATGTGCTAGGCATGAATGTAAGCTTTACCGGATGGTTGGTACCACAGTTAAAGCAGATTGATAATGTAGAATTAATTCGTTATTAGTTAATGCAGAAATGAACACTGTCATGCTATGAGAGAATTTTTGTTCAAAGAAGTATTTAGTTTCATTGCACCAAGAGCTAGAATTATATTTTACATTAACTCTTTCCTGGTCCTAACAGTTGGTCAAGTAATCACGGGGGGAAATCCTATTAATACTGCAGAATGACACTGAATACAATGTGCTGAACTAAAAATGTCAAACATCTATATTTTTCATCAGAATGGCTTGAAATTTTCTCTGTTGATTGAAAAGATGTCAATGTATGAATGTAAATATGTTTTTTAAAAAATCTACGTTTATTTTCATGGAGTTTTGCTATATTCAGTACAAACATAAAGCATAAAAAATGTAAAAAAAACATGGTCTTTCAAGTAAAAAAAAATATCAATTATACTTGAAAAACAAAAAAAGAAAATAGAAGTATTGTTTTTGCTACAAAGTTTCATCTGAATTTCTGTCATGAAAGTCATCTGTCTGAGTTTCTGTCATAAAAAAGAGCTAGCTTTGATCCAGCACAGTTCTGACCTCCATGTTGTCTACCTCCACCCATCAGGATTTTTGGGCCTTCTTACCTGTTACTGTTGTAGGGTTAAGGAAATGAGATAAATGGCTATTTTGACAAATATAGGCCATTTTGACTTATCAATCCACCTTAATCTGTGTTATTCTTTTTTGTAGGAACACAATTCTTCATCAAAAGCAAAGCGGGTTTCAGGATGAGTGCACTAGACAGTTGGTGGGTTGCACAGTCATTACAAGGTACAACAACAAGACTTACAGGATTGATGATATTGCATGGGAAAAGAATCCTGAGGACAAATTTTCTACAAGCAAGGGCGAAGATATATCTTTCATGAATTATTACAAGTAGGTGCATATGTATATTATTGACTTTCGAACTTGCATAATCATAAAAATTACTCTAGTAAGATTTTGAAAAGATGGATACAAAATATAGACATGTTATATATTGAATGTGTTATAGGTTACTGCTATTGACTGATTTTGTGAACATGATTTCATTGAATTAAAAGCAGGCTTGGCATTAATTGAATATGAATGAAATGTAGGGGAATTATTTTTATGTACACACACGTTTATTACATATATTTAGTCATAAAAAATAGGCTATCATTTGCCCAAAGCCAGTATGTGAACCAAATGTCCATTTGTAAATCATTTGGGGATTTATCTTTTACTTTCACCTTTCATGTATTTACAGAAGCAGCTATAACATAACTGTAGCAGATACGAAACAGCCCTTACTCTTGAGCCGTCCAAAGAAGAGAGATCAGAGGGATGGGGGTTCAGATATCATTGCCTTGATTCCAGAGCTTTGTTTCATGTCAGGGCTAACAGATGAAATTCGCTCAGACTTCAGAGTCATGAAAGTAGGTTTTTGCTTTTGGTATATTACTAAATAAAGATTAAGGTGTTAGCACAAGAATATGATACTATTACATATCATAAGGCCACACTTTTTTATTTTTATGGATGACATCCTGCGCGCGCACCGATTTTCGTCCGTTCTCAAAAAAGAAAAAAAAATCCCCCCCTTTTCTTAAGCAGTTTTTTTTTTTTTTTTCGCCCGCTCGCACCGATTTTGGGGTCCCCATAGGATGTCATCCATAAAAATAAAAAAGTGTGGCCTAATGACAAGAAAAAAATGTTAGTTTTTGTTTCACTATTTTGATAAGAAATGATAACTGAGGAATTTTGGTAATGTTGGTCAACAGATAAAATTGAGGGAATTGCTTTCTCTGCAGGACTTGGCGGTACATACCCGTGTTTCTCCAGAGCAGCGACAGCTCAGTATGAAAAAATTCATAAACACTGTAAACAGTAATGCAGATGCTAGAAATGAATTGGAAAAGTGGGGTTTGTCCCTAGAGCCTTCAACCGTACCCGTAAGTCAAACATATGTGAAATAAAATCAAGACCTTCTTTCTACTCTTTATAAAAAGTTAATTTTGGAAATTCATCAGGATTTTCTTTTCAACAACTTTTATTTTATATTACGTATGAAAGAATATCTAGATTCTGATATGTAAATTGTTTAATTTTTTCAAGCATAGAAAATAAACATGCTGGGGACAAGTTACATTTATTTTTCAGATTCAAGGGAGGCTCCTGCCTGAAGAAGATATTTATTTCAGGAATTCCAACCATAAAGCAGGTCGTGAAGCTGATTGGGGAAGACACATAAGTAGAGAAAACTGCATCTTAGGGGTATGCAATTTGTGTTTTATTTTTAAAATGTTGTGATTTTAATACTAAATGGTCACAAAACTTTGTTGATGCTAACAGTTAGACACTCAGATCCAGGAGGATTGTTGCTGGTTTACCTAACTTAGTCTAGGCTAACTCTAGCAAAACTTTATATTAGACAAGTAGCTGAAAAGATTTTGGTTGAATAGCTGCATAACATTAATTGCTAGGGTTTTTTAAAGATAGCTTCAATTTTCTTTAACTTAAATCATTCTTGGCATTTGGTGAACATTCCATTTAACTGTGAGTTCAGCTGAATGTCTGTTTCATTAAAAACTTGCCTTTCAAAGTTTGATTTATGTTTGGTATGGAATTTATTCTACATTTTTCCTGCAGCAAATTTGCTGGTATAAGGTATTTAAAGACAGAGGGCTGTCAAGGAACACTGTGTTAATGAACATGGGATTATTCTTATATATATATTTACAACTTACAATTCTTGGCTTACAGTCATTTTTCCTATGAGAAACTTAGATGAATTTAAAATGATAAGAAATGTGGCTTTTTATATAGGTGGATTTGTACAACTGGATGGTCCTTTTCACAAACCGGGATAAAAATAGGGCCATGGATTTTGTGAGGATGGTCCAAAAAGAAGGTCCCAACATGGGTATAAATATCCAAAACCCTACCACACTGGAACTAAGAAATGACAGGACAGAGGCATATCTTGCCACAATTAGATCAAATCTCAATCCAGAGGTGAGACTTGCTATGTGAATGTGCTTTGAAATTATGGCAATGGTTTTATTAATGAAGGTTATAACTAACAGCATGTTGATTAATAAATTGATTAAATGAGCAAGGCATTTTGAATGATGTGACTCTATGTGCATTGTTTTAACTACAGGTAATTGTCTGCAGATTCAGTCTGTAGAATTTATGTTTGTATGGATTAGTAATGTTTTGAGGAGTGGAAATCTGTTTTATAAATACTATAGTCAAAGAAAAAATGTTAAGATAAATATAATTATTAGACACAACTTGTAACTTTGAAAAGAACCTCATCAGTAGTGACTTAATGCACAGGGTTTTACTATTATTATTATACCACCAGCATGGCGCTGGTGGTACACATCATTCGCCACCACATCACCGTTACCATTTCTCTTCCTGAACTACAAGAGCCTCTGTATCTATCTCTTGTATGTAGGTCACATATAATCTCAACTTGATCCATGTGAATTTTGGGCTTTGTCGGTTCAGTTTTTCCCATATGTTAAAAACAGCTGGAAGAGTGATCTCTCTATAATTGCATCTTACTTGTAGATAATATAATAGTTAACAGTTTTATGTGAAAGAGCAGTTTCCTTCCAATTATAGTTAATAACGGCCAGAATAAAACATGAAGGAAGAAGAAATTGTTGGGGATAACCTTGAAAGGAATGTTATTATACCACTGTTCCAGCTATATTTCTGAGTTCAAATGACTTAGAAATATTATGAGAGGAATAACTGGGTCTTAAAAATAAAGTCAAAATTCTCATGTAACATGAAGACAGCAGATAGGCAAGTTGTTTTTTTGCAACATTCCTATCACAACAGGTGTGAAAATGAATAATTATCATGTAAGCATAACCAGGAATGGGGCCCACTTGCCCCCTTAAATTGTGAATGTCATAATCTAATCTAATTGTGACCTTGTAGCTGACCTTTGACCTTATTTTAACCATGAACTTTGCAAATGAACCATGAACTTTCTGTCCCTTATATCTCCAAAACTGGCGGAGATATGCCCATAGATACTACTGAACTTGAATAGGAACTCGTATATTGACAGTCTTCCTGTGACCTTGGATTTGATCTTAGACCTTCTTTTTGCTATAGACTGCACTTTACAAATTTGGGTTTGACTTTTTACTTTTCCCCATGATTTTGTTATAAATTGTTATTTTCAACAACAACCAAAAAATAAATAAATAAATAAAATAAGAACTCTTGTTTACCACATTTTGTACAGCTTGTCAAGCACAACACTGGAGGTTGTGCCCCTTTTTTCTTTGTTTTCCATACGAATGTGCTCACTCCAGCTCGTGGTACACTACCTGGAGGTGGTATTGCCTCTCTGCTCCTCTAGTTGTTATTATTGTTATTATTATTATTATTATTATTATTATCTTTTTGTTTAGGTCCAGTTGGTTGTGACCATATTTCCTACAAGCAGAGATGACCGGTATAATGCTGTGAAAAAACTTTGTCTGGTTGATGCCCCAGTAGCAACACAGGTAACAATTTTATTTACAAACAAAAAGTAGAAAACAGCAGAAAAAGAGCAACAAATATTTTCTCTTGATTTAGTTGAAAAAGTAAAAAGTACACAAAGTTATAGGTTGCCTGAAAATGATCTAGTCAGAGGCGAGACATTTTTTCCATTTAGTTACCACATTCTGTATAGGTCATATATAAACAACTTTCTTGATTCACAAGTCAAACTGGTTGGACTGAGTATAAATGAAGTAGAATGTCAATTTAATAGAACTTGGTCTTTTGTTTTTCATTGGTTTTAATTTAAAGAGCCCTGCTGTCAGTTATGATTGAAGTGTGCGTCTCCCAGATATTTTAGATATTTTAAAAGAAATATGCCTTTTTTCCTTGGTAGGTTATCAATGCCCGCACAATATCAGACCAGAGGAAGCTAAGATCTGTCTGCCAAAAAGTAATCTTGCAGATGAATGCCAAACTTGGTGGAGAACTTTGGGCTGTGAAGATACCAGTGGTACTTTTTTTTTCATAAATTTGGGTTAAATTGTTCTTTTTTAACTTGTCTTCGAGGATTGTGCATAATGAAAGTAAGCAAAGATGCATGCTGGTATGTGTCTTTCATATATGCATACTTATTTAATAAGGACAAACACTGCATGTCTGGACATATGCATATCACATATGTATAATGTCCATCATTGACTTACACTTTCCTGGAATTTTTTACTCACAATTTAAGGAAATCCATGTTACTTAAATTATTTTGAAACTTTTTTATCTTAAATGTAAACCTTAAAGATGCATATGAAGTCATTTTTTGTCACAAAAGTCAACCAAATGCCAGCATATAGTTTCAAATACTATTACTAAGAGAATTACCAAAACTTTAAAGACATTGTTTAATATTACCTGAAAAATGATATCTGATTGGATTTTTCTGCTACCTTTCTAAGCTGTATATAAATGGGGCCAATAAGTAGGTCAAATAAGTAGGTTAAATTTACGACCGATAATTTAAAGAAAGGAGCAGTTTAAAACTTATATGGTTGATCAAGTGATATATTTGGTTTATCCTTTGGCATGTTAAACTTATTTGAGTCATATAAGATACTAGTATAAGTGGTTTATATACATTACTGGGAATCCACGCTCCACTTACGCTGGGTTCATTTGTTTCTTTAATGTTATGCTTTTTAAAATTTGAACAGTATTTTTTCCTCTGTCCTTTTCCAGCGTAACACCATGATATGTGGCATAGATGTTTACCATGAGGGTAAGGGTGGCAAGGCTCAGTCTGTTGGAGCTTTCTGTGCATCCATGAATAAGGATTGTACTCGCTGGTTCAGTGATGTGTACAAGCAAACCCCAGGAGAGGAGTTGATATCTGGCTTGAAGATGAGCCTGTCAAAGGCCATTATAAAATACCATGAGGTTGGTCTCTGTTTTCAATATTACTGTTTTAGATGGTATCAAAATCTTTCTGAAGCAAAGTTATTTGTTTTGTTTTTAATGGAAATGTATTACATTGACTGGAAACATGACAATTTGTAAGCCTTAATTATAATTATTATCATTATTATTTGAACCCCTGTTATGTGCCCATTTTCATTTCCAGCTCAATCACAGCTTGCCAGACCGCATCGTAATATTCCGTGATGGTGTCGGTGATGGTCAACTCGGCATGGTTGCAGATTATGAGGTGTCTCAACTGGAGTCCTGTTTCAGTCAGTTTGGGGAAACCTACCAGCCAAGGCTGGCTGTTATTGTTGTCCAGAAACGCATTAACACCAGAATATATGCAAAACTGGTAACAATGTTCTCCTTGGATCTCACAACTGTAACTGTACCATTTTTCTTAAGACGAAATTTTATTAATGCTTAAAGAGATGAGTTCACAAAAGTGATTCATTGTTCAATGAAAATTTAACAGATTGTTTAGATAAATTTCCGTGGCCAGTTAAATGGTTGGCTTCATTAATTCAAAATGGGTTACTTGTGTGAAAGCAAGCTTTTTAAACAAATATTTTTCTGTTCTCCATTTAGTTTTATCCATGATTACTATTGTCTTTTTACAGCAGGGGGCAGGCAGAGGGTGCCAGTATGATAACCCTCCTCCAGGAACAGTAGTGGATCATACCATCACAAGAAAGGAATGGTAGGCACTATTAACTATGAAATCAGTCAGTTTTGTCTGGTGTGTGAAGTGCAATTTGTTACAAAATATTATTAAGTTTGGTAAAAATTGCCATCCATTTGAAGAGAGACAGTTTTTTCAGTAACCTCAGGCTTCATAGGTTAGCATTTAGAACTATTTGTTCCAGTGATCAGTATCAATTTAAGTGAAACAATACTAAAAAAATTCTTAAAACAGGAATTTTGAGATAACTGCACCAATTTTATGGTTTAATTTTATTGACAAATCAAATGTCTTTTAATGACTCTGAAGATTGTTTTAAAATGAATTAAAAAACCTTTTTATTTATAGAATTTTTAAATTTTAATTACTTTTATGTTCTTTGTAGTTTTAGTGTTTAAATGCATATTTTAACAGCTCTGAGACACAATTGTAGCGAGGTTTTAAGAAATAAATTATTACTATTATTATTAAATATTTGTAGTTTGTTAGAATGAACTGTGCACCAACTGTGCTCATATTCAATCATATGTATTCGTGTACGTACTTATTTCAGGTATGACTTTTTCCTTGTGAGCCAGCATGTCCGCCAAGGAACTGTCTCTCCCACACATTACATTGTGGTTCATGATGGTTCAGGACTTAATCCAGACCAGATTCAGCGCATGACTTACAAGATGACTCATTTGTATTACAACTGGCCGGGGACTGTGCGCGTCCCCGCCCCTTGCCAGGTTAGTACATCCAAGGGCTCTTATGCCTTTGTTAAGTTTTGTAAAATGTTTGTCATGGTTTTGTAGGTTGCAAAAGCTGACATTGTGGCTTATTGCAAGTGGTATGAAAAAGATATCAAATAGATTATGTTAAGATGACAGGAATTCCAATTCCGTACTTTTATGCATTCTTCTTTATTTCTGTTCATGTTTTCTATTAACCATATTAAACATGCGCCTGTTTCTTTTCTTCAGTATGCTCACAAACTGGCATACTTGGTGGGTCAGAATCTCCGGGATAAGAAACCACACGATAAGCTTATGGATAAGCTGTTTTTCCTGTAAAGAAATACTCAAGTCAAGAACTGTGCCAAAAACTCCATGGAAATAAAATGTTAAAAAGATACACGTTTTTGTTTGGACATGGACAAATGGTTTGAAAGGATTCATATTACCATGAAGCAAGTGGCTGAAGGGGCCAAGCGGAATCCACAAAATCATGTTTTGAAATTATCACCTGTTTTACCTCTAAAGGGTTTGAAGAGGTACTCATTTAAAAAACCGGTGGTATGGGGAGACGGGTGGTAAAATGGTAATCTTCATTCTGTCTCAGGGTTGACATCTCTCCGAGGTTGTGCATATTTGAAACTTTTTTTGATTGCAGATGTATTTTCATCCATGCTGTTTCAAATGCCAGTAACATTTTGAGAGCTAAAGCAGCTACAATTCATTTTATGTTTATTGAAATTAAGACACGGCATAAGCCTGAAATGATCCATCCAGTTTTGTTTTTGCATAAGTCTAGAGAGATGATCTGTATTGGTATAATAATTATTTTTTTACAATGAAAGGTTAAATGCTTTCTATTTTTATAATGTAGCAGCAGTGGTCACTTTGTAGTTGTTTAGTTAACATGTAGAAATAACTCTGTTGGTATCACTTCAAGATGCAAAAGAATAACTTTTTAATCTATTATTTTACCAATTTCCTTCCAAATACCAACATTATTGCAACACCTGTATCAAACGTGCTTAAGCAGCAATATCTGTGGATGGTACACATGTAATGGATAAATACAATAGGAAGGTTACAGTTCGATTTGGAAGTTTCACGTCAAGAAATTGTTTCATATAAAAGTAGCATAGTTTTATGATACTTCTGTCTGGAAAATAGTAAAACATTTCTTAATTTTTTACCTAATGTTTTTTTACTATAGCTTGCCATCCTAGGGGAATGAGCAAGTGTAGATTAATATGTTAAACAGCATTATTCAGTGTTTCAACTTAAAAGTCAAAGTGCAGATTAGCTGTTGTATCCTAGTAAATTGCACTGCTGGGCCTGTAGTGTGGTACTCCCATGTGTTGAAACTAAATATCCTTTAATTCTGTAGAAGAACTTAAGTCAAAAGGGTCATTGATTAGACTGAAAATCTTTGATGGCAAAAGTTGCATACCTGCATTGCTCTTATTTTTTCATCCAGACATGACATCAGTTTATTTTCCAAGCATCGTAATATCAATCCCAGACTTTGAGCCTTTTTTCAAAATGTGCCGTATTCTTGTCTGTATTGCAGTTTTGAGAGATTGACCACTTCATGCCTGATTACATGAGTCCTCTAAATGCCTAACATGGTCAGTTACATGGGTTAATTTTGATTGGTCCAAACTGTTAGAATCAAGCTTGTGAGAGGGTGCAAAACCCTTTGCTGCATACTTTTGTTAAGACCAGTCAAGACTTTGCAATACAGATAAGTACTATATTGCATGATAGGAAAAGATATATTTATTTTAATGGAAGTAATCTCATGTTATTTATGGTATTAAAGAAGTTTCTTTGTTAAAAATAGTCACTACATGCTTAGTTGTTCCTGTGAGAGAAGGGCTTTAATTGACCCATTTTTAAATTGATTTTAGTCATTTTAAATAAATGTAGAAAGTGACCCAATAAAACTACAAAACAGTTTGCCTTTGTACACATTTTATTGAAGATTGGAGATAGCACCAGCCTCCTATGAGAGTCACATGTGCTTGACCATAAGGGGCAATTTCACATCCATTTTTTTGCAAATCAGTTCAAGGAGGCAGTGCATCAAAACGGACATGCTGAAAACTTTTCATAATGGCCGGACAATTGGACCGGCAGTACTGAAAAATTTGCAGGACCGAATGGATTTTTGTCGGACCGAAAATCACTCTATTTGCTTGAGACAGATACTACCAGTATGATTAGGGTAGCTTACTTTGTTTGTGAATGTGATAGTTTTGCAATGGAAGGGAAAAACGCTTTGGGTTTTATATAATTTTATTATTGAAGTATGTCGAAAGATGACTGTAAATTCAAAATTGCGATTCTTAAAACTCTTGTCGGTCCTTTGGACCGACCAAGTCCAATTTTCTACCGGTCCAGACTAATTTTCCCGGTCATGACCGATCGGACCGACAGTTTCAGCATGTCTGCAAAAGTTCAAACTCTTTCTATGAAATCCACATTTCACGTTAAAAATATTGTAAACAACTCAAAAATATAATAAATTCTATATTTCCACCAAAACAATTGTTTTGCAATTATTCTGGAACATGTGTTTGCCATCAGACCACTTAACCTCCATAGATGGCTACCCTCTATAATAACCTCTTAAATAAATATCTTAAGAGACAATTACAAAAAAAAAACTTTTTAGGAAAAAAAGCAGGGACTTGAATGTTGGAACAGACTCATTAACCATTGGTAAGCATGGGAAAATTGTTTACCCCAGGTTAATCCATTTTTGGAAGAAGTGAACAGTTATTATCCCTTAAAGTGTCACTGTGTCACCAAAATTAATAAGGTGTTTATTAGCCCAGCACTTGTGCCCCATTTGGGCACATTTGCGACAAAAAAAAGCCAAGATGTAGTTTGTCTGTAAACAGTGTACTTGAATTTACATACAAAGAAGACAAAATGTCCCAACTCACCTACCACTTGCAGTATTTGTTCAATATCCTGCTGCATTTTTACCTTAACAACCCCTTTCTATTCCTATGTAAAAGATTAAGATTTAAACCAATTTTTAATAAGTTAAAATCAATATTAATGAAGAAAAGTGTCTAAAGCTACTTTAAGTTGGCCAATGGTGTTGTTTTCCTTATGCATTCAAAGGTACCTATACACATGCCAAAAAAAAAAAAACAGCTTTGAAAAATGTACTGATCAAATTAAATTTTTTATCTTATAAATGTTTTTCAATTAATACCAATAATTCATACTTCTCTTAGATTTCATTTTCTTCCTCTTCAAAGAAAAAATCCTACTAAACAGAACAAGTACAAGTGATCAAGAACAAAGTACAGCATTACGATAATGGAACATAAAGGAATTCTGTTTCATGTAATTCTAAACTTGGGATTCCAGTACTGTTTTGTTCTTGGTAGGTTTAAGCTTAATACTTCCTTAATTTCTGAAAAATCTCTTCCTTATTGAAAGGTTGTTTACTAGCAATACTCTGCAAGATGAGGAGAAGGTCCACCATGAAAAGCCATCAGTCCTACACATACAAAATGTGCCAAGCCATGTGTGTTACTAGGGTGCAGTTGGGCTACCTACACAACGCTTAAAACCATTGATATTTTTTCAGACAGGTGTCTGTCTCCTGCCTTCAGGTACAGTTGTTCATTTCATCCAGAAGTCTATCTGCAAGTGCTGAAATAAGGGGGGAGGGAAGACCTCTGTCCATACCGAACTGTCTAGCAACTGCACTTGGGCTGTCATCCTGTAATAGTTAATCGTTTATATCACTAATAACCCTTCAAATGCCCAACTTAACCATATGGGGAGCTGCTGGAAAATGCACGCTCGGCTGTCACCTTGATTGGATAGTAAACAATTGTCGTAAAATCGCTAAATGGTATTAAAACCGGGTGCATAAACTTGAAAACCACCTAGGACAACCTTGGACTGCCACATTAATCCAATACAATGCAAAAATAAACTATAACAAGTGGTTAAAGCCTTCAAACCGAATAATCGAAATAAAATACTGCCGGGCATCTCCACAATCCAATTCAGGAAATGACGTAACCGCAGAGGTCGCATTGTCCAATGGCATGGCTTCTTTTTCGTAATGGGAGGTTAGAGTGGACTGACTTAAACATCAGAGGTGGAATTTGGATATACGGTTTGATTGTGCGTATGCCATGCACAGAATTTACAAACGAGCAACGGGATGATGTAGCCTGCAGTATTTGCGGTAAGCGTGCCAAGTTTTAGGCCGCTCCAATGCCCAGCAGTATTTTATTTCGATTATTCTGTTTAAAATTGTTTATTCTTGTTTCACAAGCTTACTCTATTTTATTGTCTCTATAGAGGTATATGGGGACTTTACGACATTCGGTTTGAAGGCTTTAACCACTTGTTATAGTTTATTTTTGCATTGTATTGGATTAATGTGGTAGTCCAAGGTTGTAATAGGTGGTTTTCAAGTTTATGAACCTGGTTTTAATATCATTTAGCGATTTTACGACAATCGTTTACTATCCAATCAAGGTGACAGCCAAGCGTGGTAAAATGCATATTCAAATAGACAATTTTATCAGTAAGGGATTTAACTGACAAACTAACTGCAAGTAAAACTTCAAATTTATCATCATCAATTTGCAAGTTTACCACTACCGATTCACTTACTTCATAAAAAATGAAACTGTACATTTGCCCATCTTTGTCTTCAAATTCCACTCTGAACAATTGCTCCTTTTGATTAGTCTGTTGATCTGAAAAAAAAAATTTAAAGAATGCAGCACTTGAGACAAATGAGAAAATCTCTTGCAGCAAAGATAATCTTTAACATCAACCCTAAAACCACAATTATTTGCTTACCTGACTTCGACTTCGGGGGTGGAACATACGGCTGAATTTCTGGTCTCTTTGACTTGGAAGTGGTTTGTTTCTTGTCGCCTATTTTAGCCTTCACTTCTTTGTCGTATTCATCTCTGCAAAAGAGTACTAATTCAACGTACGGAATAATAATAAGAGTAACTGGATGAAATTATTTTTACAATTCTGGCACCTTCTTCTAGAGATTAACCAACAGACAAGGTATTCTCAAACATGACACACGAGTAGTGTCACACTTTCAAGAATGTTTAAAAGTAAAATTTTGCCTTTTATGTTATAAATATTTCCTCAGAGAGACTTAATGAAGGCCGTGAGATCGTCATAAAAATCCACAGTTTGCTGGTTGTCAATGCTTCTTAGTACCTAGCAACTTGGTTTCTGACTATGCTCTTCATAAAGCCATGTTTCATATCCAACTTAGCTTTCGCTGCCATCTGCAGCGAACAGCTGATGCGTTAAACGTCATCAAGATATGTGCAGATTTTTTATTGGCAGAATCTGATTATTCATGAGTTTTTATTCTAATGTTTTAGCTAAGTAATATTTCTAACACTAATTTATGCTTCAGAGAGCATTATATGGTATATTTGAACATAAAAAATAGAAATCTGCTCATTGCATCAAAAAGTGATGACGGAAGCACAAAGCAGTCGACAGAAGCATGGCCACCAAAGAAGAAGCGGCCAAGCGGCCACTTAGTGATGACGAGGAAGAGAATGAGCCAGGTACGCATTTTTTTGTATTTCATTAAGTTGGAGTTGCCTAGTTACCGTGATTCCGTACACCTACCAGTGGTGATAAATCTATGCATTGCTTGATCTGTTTGTAGCGCCAACGATTTTTGAAGTTACGCCGGTTGGCTGCACTGCACTGTCTGCAGTTGTTTTGCCCGTTTTGCCTCTTGATAACTAGAAGTAGATTACATGAACGCGTAATTGATGATAAACATGTAGTGTTCTGAATAAATTAGAGACAGAACCCTCCTTCTTTCACATAAAAATACTATGCAGATAAAGCCATAGTGAGGAAAAGAAATATCATTTTAGTTCGTTTTTACTAATGATTTTATTTAATAGTATTCAGTATTAGCATTGGAGTGAAATTGTTATGTATATGTCATATACATACATATATATTCATACATATATACATACATATGTAACAAATGATACCCAACTTCTGTATATTTATGATGACTATCAGCAGTAAAAAGGTAAATGGATAGTAAGACTGTCATTGGGAGAACTAATTTAAACTGTACAAGAAGATACTACCTGGTGGATACTGGCATTATACATGTATATACATTTTAACGAGTAAGGCTGAGAAGTTTTATTTGATATTTCTTGCAGTAATAACACGAAAACACCTAAAAGTGGATAGCAGAAGTCGGATGTGCCCATATTTGGATACTATTAACAGGTATTTGTGATTTAGTGGGATATTTTACTGTTTTGAAAAAGAAGTCTACTTTCACTCTCATTATTGTTTTATTAAAAGGTTATATATCTTTTACTTAACAATTAATATTTCTATTTTGGTTAAATGTTTGTTGGCGTTTTTTGTACCTTTTTACTTAACATCACTTAATAGATGTAATTCATTTTCAGATCTGTATTAGACTTTGACTTTGAAAAACTATGTTCAGTGTCCCTTTCCCATTTGAATGTTTACGCTTGTCTTGTATGTGGCAAGTACTTTCAAGGTAAGAAAAAAACTGAAAACTTGTGTTTGGAATTGATCATATTTTTTCAGTATAGTGTTATGAATGAGGTGTTAAATGTAACATACTAGTATTTACATGACTTGTTAAATTGTAAATTGATTATGAAATATTTTCATATTTTTTGTAAAAGAGTGATCACCTGATTGATCTAGTTTGAAGCAAGTATGTGTTAACATTTAAGCTGAAGATTTTCTTTCAATAAAGCTGAACCTTGTTGTGTTTCAGGCCGTGGGATGAAGTCTCATGCTTACACTCACAGTGTCCAAGATGGTCATCATGTGTTTTTAAACTTGGAAACTCACAAGTTTTACTGTTTGCCAGACAATTATGAAATCATTGATTCATCACTAGAAGATATCATTGTAAGTAATCATAATAACACAAGACTTTCTTAAGACTGAAAATTTTGTCAGATTTGTCAATGTGATAGATTTTGTCAATGCAGAGAAGTGGAAGAATCTGTAATTCTTTAAAACTCTGAGAGCTATTTATTTTTTGCCAGGTGATCTTTATATTGCCTCGGTTGTTAAAGACTGTTAAGAAACCAGTTACTTATATAGTGTGGCCATTAAATTATTTCTCAAATTCTGCATCACAGAATCTACAAGGTATATCTTTGCATATAGTCTTATGACATATAATGAAATTTAGATAGATTCTGATATTAACATTAATACTCTCTTTTGATTAAATTTTTTTCAGTATGTATTAAATCCAACATTCAAACCAGATCAAATTGTTGCTATGGACACAACTTCTAAGATGTCGAGAGCCTACGATGGCACCACATATTTGCCAGGTATGACAGAAGCTATATCTTTACCTGTTAGCTATGTTCAGTGAAAGGTTTCTTTTTCTAGGAAATGGAGAATATAGAAATTCTTGCAGTTTTTTTTCTTTTGTTCACTGTAATTTATGTCATAATGATATCTTTATCAATTATACCTTTATTGATTAAAGTGCTTACTTGAAAATTTTTAATAAAATAAAAATATGTGAATTTTGTTTAGGTTGATTAGTTGTCAAGAAGCTGATACTGATGTTTGTTTACATCTCATTTGATTTATTTATAGGTATTGTTGGACTAAATAACATAAAGGCCAATGACTACTGCAATGTGATTTTACAAGTGAGTTAAATTTGTTGTTGTCAAGCAACTTTTCTAAGAATAGTTGAAAACATTTGGGAATAGATACTTATTTCTGTCTTCAGTAAGTGAATTAGTTTACTGTAACCTCAAAATTAAAGATGTGCTATAAAATACCTTGTTATTGTTTTATAATATGTATATATAATATCACATTCTATATGAAAAGTAATCCTATTTTAAGTGTTATAACATTGAGAGTGAAATTGTGTTTGAATTATTTTGTGTAGGCACTTTCTCACATACCATTGCTGAGGGATTATTTTTTAAGAGAAGAGAATTATAAGCAAATAAAAAGACCACCAGGAGATCAGATGATTTTCCTTGTGCAAAGATTTGGAGAATTGCTGAGAAAGTTATGGAATCCTAGGAATTTCAAGGCGCATGTTAGCCCCCACGAGATGTTGCAGGCAGTAGTGCTATGTAGTAAAAAGAGATTTCAAATCACTGAACAAGGTAAATTTTTGCTTCAAAATTATTTGCACATTTTTAGAAATTTCTGTAAATAAAATCAAAATCAGGTCACCAAAACACTAATGATGTGCGGTAGAATTTACCAGAACTTGCCATTAAATCTTATCAACTATAATGTTACAACTAAAATTTAGATATTAAACCTTTCAGTAATAAATTTTTTATCTTGCCTTCTCTTTAAAGGTGATCCACTCGAGTTTATGTCTTGGTTCCTGAACTCTCTTCACCTTGCTCTAAATGGTGGAAAGAAACTGAGTAGCAGCATTGTCAACAAGACATTTAGGGGGTGCATGCGTGTTTATACCAGAAAAGTACCAGCAGTTGACATGGTGAGAAGAGTTATTTCATTATAGATTTAACAAAAAGCATGCTTCCAATGGCTTATCTAAATGTATTAAGTTATAACTTTTGTATCAGTTCGGCCTTTTTTGTTGGAATAAACATTATTATAAAATGACAAATAATTTTGCTTTTTTTCTTTTTCAGAAAGAAGAAGAGAAACAACAGTTGCTTCTACAAGAGGAGTACCAAGGTAATGCATTTTCCATTTTTACCATTTTCAAAATACCCCAGTCCTTTACAATTTCATTGTGAATAATTTTTTTTTTATATTTTCAGTTTTGCTATTGTGTAAAAAGTTGTTTAAAAGCACATAGTTTAAAGGTTATACTATCATAAAATGAACCATTTTTCTTGTGTCCACTAGTAATGACATATTGGAACATTTATGATCATGTGACAAAAAATAAATTTCATGTCAATCTTCACAGTGCTTTGTAAATTTTATGGCAAGTGTCCTATTTTATCATTTCAATTAGTTTTCACCTTTATGTTCTTAATGTTTGTATAATCCTTTTATCACTAACATGTAAAACTTAGCCTATGGGTTGTGATTTCATTATTATTATTATTATTATTATAACTGGAGTTAATTTTCCAATGCAGAGAGAGTGGAAGAATCTCAGTTCCTATACCTGACCTGTGACCTCCCTCCCCCGCCTCTCTTCCCAGATGAGCTTCAAGAAAACATCATACCACAGGTCCCACTGTTCAACATTTTGTCGAAGTTTAATGGGATAACAGAAAAGGAATACAAGACATACAAGGATTCTACAATGAAAAGATTTGAGCTGACCAAATTGCCACCATGCATTATATTGTACATAAAGGTAAGTGTCACTGTTGTATGTTATATGTTTGTTTAAGCTCCATGTTATTTATTTTCATCTAACCCCACCCGTTCAGGANAGATTTACCTGTTGTATGCAGTCTAATGAATCAGAACAACTTGTTTCAGCATTTATGTTACATAAACGATTTTTTCTAATGAAACTTGTCTTGTGATGTAAAAAAAGAGTTATATGTTAAATAATTGTGGTGTGGCACAAGTAAATGGGAAAGTAATTATTGTTTTTTTAATCCTAGAGAAGAGAGGGAGGGGTGGCATATTACGGTATTTTCTCACAGAAGCCATCACTGATTTCACTTAACTGTATAAAAGTCTTGCTACTAGAAAAACTTCAGGGTATTTATTAATTTTATATAACTTTTCTTACAGACCAGCATTTGTTGGTCTAAATAATTGTATTTTTAACCAATACACATTTCTAAGGAATAGTAAAAAATGCTAAAAGCAAAAGGCTGTTACAGTAACAAGAAAAAAATCATGTGTAAAAGCACTCTAAACAGCTATTTGGAATGTTTCCATAAACCATAAAATAAACAAGGTATAAACTGTACCAAAATAATGATAAGGTATAACTAAAAAGTAAATGAAAATATAGTACGCATAATAACAGTTATGGCCAATAATCTGTCTGACAATGAAATAAAATCACCTAAAAAGTACTTCATATATGATTATGTAATGATAAAGACCTTGTATAGAATGCAATGCAAGAGTTATTTTTACAAAATGAGTATAAAAATGTATAATGAAACAATAGATAATTAATCAGATGTGCTGTCCGAAACACTTTTTGTCTCGCTAATACTGTCACCACTTGATATTGGTAAATGTGAGGCATCCAAACAGCCTTCTCCACAACATAATTTTCAATTGTATCCCTGCCTCATGTCAAACCCCATATACCACAGGACTGAAGTGATATGTGCACAACTTCCAACTGTCTTGGAACCAGCTTTACACTGTCAGTACCCGCCACTGATGGGTCTAGTTTTGTTATGGGAGGTCTGAATCCATAATGTGTACCGGTGGCTAGATGTGTGTCTTAATTAACTATTTTGGCTCTGATTAAATCAGGTGCATCCTTGCATACACTGATTTCAAACTGGCCATCTATCAGATGCTCATCAGTATATTGGCTAGCATGCTTTATCTGGTAAACTTCTGGTAATTATTATAGGCTGGTGGTCTCTTGTATGTACTGATTTCCTTGACAAATAAAGCCATTCATAGCATTTTGGTGAAAAAAAAAAAGAAGAAAAAAAAAAAACTCTGCAAAGCTATTATCAATAGTGCTGGTGTGGAAGATTAGGTCATAAGTAACAAAACTAGGGTGTGTGTGATGGAGCCTTTTATTTTACTTTTTATGCAAAATAGACATGAAAGGGGACATTTACACAACAATTTTGGTTGTACAAAATGTACTTTCATGCCTATTAGAGGGGGTTGGGTCAAGCCACCCTTATGTGTAGTGGTCTATTACAGCATGGGTCTCTATATAAAGTAGGAGCCACCACAATGTACCACAATGTACATCTGCTATTATGATAATTAATATAACTTTGAATATCTGATGCACATTTTACATTTAATCTTTCTTAATCATAAGAAATAAGAATGAAAGTAAGATATACTTACTGTATTTGGACTCTATTTCCTATCCATATTTCCTTTTTTTTTTTTTTTTTTTTTTGATGATAGCATGCATTACATGAAAATGACTTTTCTTATTTTTTTGGTTGTAATTGAAAATATTTTACTGACTCTAACCCCTATTTTCCTTTCAAAGACCTACATTTTATTTTGGGTTGTTTTTTTGTACAAAAGTTTCACTGTATCTGCCTAACCATCCTATGTTAGCATGTAGCAGCTACCTCATAGCAGGAATAAAAATGGCCGCCTGCTAGCATATGGACCGAAGATGTCCCTATCTATAGTTTGAGTACATACCGAGCCCAACCCTCAGACAAGCTGATTTTCACATATATCTCACCTTATATTCATGTCTTTTCAACCGTGAATAATAAGCTTGTCTGAGGCAGGGGCTTATATAAAAAATGAACATCTTTTATCCTCAAGTCACTGTAAGATTCTTCTTTCTTAATTAGCACTACATGTACAAATAAAGCAATCAAAATATTGATCACAAACAATGATTGGCCACATATTGCCTTACTTTTTTACATGGGCACCTTCTGTACCCAATTACAAAATTTCACAGTTGTCATCTTACTGTAACTAAAGATATGTAGCATTGCAATTCAGACCCCCCCCCCTAAAACACACATTTTCATGAATATTTGACAAGGTCATTTTGACATGAATTTTTTATTATTCAAATTCAATAAAAAAATTTTTTTTAAGTGGATCATAAAAGTGTAAGACCCAAACTTTAATTTGGCATCAGTTTTTTTCCATTCATTCACAATTTATTTTTCATGTACAAAGGTGGGCACTTTTACCCCCTTATTCGCACTCATCCTTTCTGCAATGCCTATGTACATCCCTTACAACAGCTTTACCCATCACCAAACTTTCAACTTCCTAACTCTTAAGGTCTAGGGGGAGATAGGACAAATCATGTGATAAGAATTCAGAACCAACCACCCCCAGGTGCAGTCCAACCCCCTGTTGCACTAAAACTCAGAAATAGCCCCACACACTCCTGAAATGTCTTCCAATCACCAAAGTTTCAACTTCCTATGTCTAATGATCTAGGAGGAGATAGAGGAAGTTACAATGAGAAAAGAATTCAGAAACAACCACCCCTAGGGACAGCCCAACTATATTGAGTGATGACATTATTGTCAATTTGTTAATCATATGTTGTCAGTTGCAATCTAAACCCATCACTTCAAGAAAAAAGGTGAAACATTTTGCAAGATATGACAGCTCACATTTTCTTTCAGTTGTAAATGACAGCTTATTGACAATGGATGGGGCAAAACAAAGGTATGTTCAGAACATAATTTTGCCTTACAAAAGACCAAACTAATGGGAAAAAATCAATTTGTTTCAGAGAGACTGAGTGTCAGAAGTTGGAATGTACAAGGAGAGCCGAGTCATGTGGAAATTTAATCATCCACCCCCAGGGGCAACCTCAACCCTAGATATACTAAAATTCCAAAAGGCTTATTTCTTATTCTGATAAAAGGTTGATCAATTTCCAAAATTCCAATTCTGTAATTTTAATAGTCTAAGAAAAGGTAGTATATTACAATGCAAAAAAACTTAAAATCAACCATCCCTAGGAGCAGCCCCACCCCCAGGAATACTAAATTCCTGTTCAATTCAACTAGCCAAAATCTGATCATGCTTTGATTTGATCCATTACAATACAAATCATATGAATCTATTACCGTATGGTTAAAAACCTTTTTTTAATTCACTTCATTGTCAATAAACAACCATTTACTTTTGAAAGATGCCAATATACAATACAATACAATACAATACAATAAATATAATGATGGGCCATCATATCCCGCAAAATTTTCCACGTGTTATTTTAGAGAGTTCTTCAAACATGTGAGTGTACATTGCAATCAATAGCATTCAAAACCAATATATTAGTTTCTTTGCAAAACACCTAGTTAGCCAGTAAATTTTGAGTGACTTACAGTTAAGATAAATCAATATTATATTTTATGTGAAACTGTGGCACAATTCTGTAATAAAAAAAAATTAAGTCAGTTTTGTCTCAAAGCTTAGTTTACAAAGATCTGGCCAAGTTGTGTTACACAAAGAATCTAAAGCTGATCAACAATTAACTAATATATATATTGGCACAAAAATGTATGCATTGGCACTCCTTAAAAATCCATATTAAAATATGTACTGGTGCAAAGAAAAACATTCAAGCGTTCTTGCATTCCATGATTGGGCTCGATTTGCTGAATGAACTAATAGTTAACTACACCTAGATTGTTCATGTGATAGTACATATAAAAATATTAATATAACTTTTATATGGGAGTGCCAAAGTATAAATTTTCTTGCTAATATTTATAATGCTGTATAGTACTTACTTTCTGTGTCTGTGCCTTTACTTGTACCAGTATGGTCAGTGCAGAATTTTAGAAGTGTTGATATGCCTGTGGTGAGATTGTTGTTCATCATCCACAAATCCTTAGGAAGCCTAATAATGCAGAAATTGTAAAATGGTGAATTTTCATTAGTATGTGTAATTTAGGATTTCTCTTTCTTCAAGAAAATGTTTCACACCAAAATAAAATGTCTTTCAAAATAAGTACACCTCATGTCATGCAAATAACCAGTAGCACAACGAAAAACAAGGCAGCAAAGCTGTCAAATGTACAGACAAAAACCAGAAAATAAAAACGCAGGAAATAGGATACTGTCAATTTTGATGCACTAATGTATTATGCTTACTGTAACTGCATAGCCAACGTCAAATTCTAATTCTGCATAACAGTGGATTAGGATGAAAGTAAAATGTATAACAAGCATTAGACTGAGTTCCCATACCTAGATCAATCTAACAGGATCAAATCCAACTCCAAGGGGTTTCTCACTAAATTGCTTTCAGCTTAAGCGGCTTAGGATTCTGGCATGCCAGTTTCAGTAGGCGTGACAAACAGCTAAGCCACTTACATTGATTGCAATTTAGCGAGAATTCCCTTGGAGATAGATCGATCCACAGTTAGTGTGATAGGGTCTGGAAATAGTTCCTAAGGCTTCAGGCTGATAAGAGTTAAACTTTGGAAATGCCAGAACGAGATAAAGTGAAAATTTCACCAAAAAAAAAAAAAGGTTAAACTCAATAATATATATATATATATTAATAGAGCTGTTTTTCTTATTTGGGCTGTATGTCAATCCTAAGAATCATTCTTGTAAATTAAAAAAATACAGAAAATGTTACAAAGTAACAGTACAGGGCTCCTGGTGGATGGGAGTGATAAGTCACATCTTGAAAATGCCAGTTTGAAAAATTAAAAATTAAAGAAAAAATTACAAAAATATTCCACTAAAGCTGCCATTCAGTCTAGCTGAATAACCATGATATGTATCATCCAACTTAAGTTTAACAGTGTAAACAACTCACAGAAATATAATATATTTTGTTTTACTACAAAAAGGGCAGTCATAGCTATTATTCTGATATCTGAACTTGTCATCATACCATGTGACCTCCATAGATGGCTATACTTTGTAATAATTTCTTNGTTAAAAAAATACAGACAATGTTACAAAGTAACAGTACAGGGCTCCTGGTGGATGGGAGTGATAAGTCACATCTTGAAAATGCCAGTTTGAAAAATTAAAAATTAAAGAAAAAATTACAAAAATATTCCACTAAAGCTGCCATTCAGTCTAGCTGCATAACCATGATATGTATCATCCAACTAAAGTTTAAACAGTGTAAACAACTCACAGAAATATAATATATTTTGTTTTACTACAAAAAGGGCAGTCATAGCTATTATTCTGATATCTGAACTTGTCATCAGACCATGTGACCTCCATAGATGGCTATACTTTGTAATAATTTCTTAAGAGATTATAACACAAAAAAAAACACTTTTTAGAAAAAAAATTAATTATTTGCCAAAAAGAACAGTCAAGTTGCAAATATTGCACAACAGGTAGTATCAATAAAAGTTAACTGTTACATGCCCTTTGGAGTTATAAGTTCCACAATGAAAATGCCAGTATGTGAAAGATAAAAATTTCACAAAATGTACAACAGAATAACATGGTCAATAAGATTACAGTTTCAGGACCATATGTGAGAGTTCAAATTCACATAATGAAAATTCCAATATGTGAAAAAAGATGACAGTGCATAAAATAATATAATTACTCAATGTTTAAAGACATAAAAACCAACACAACTCCTTATGTGGAAAAACAGAAAATGCACAGTGCTTCTGGTGGATGGGAGTTTCACGAG